ATCGTGCTTCAACTTTTGCGGACTCGCTCTTTTGTGGTTTTTCAACGTAAGATTGTACACGAAAAATAAAAGAAAAAAGACTGTACATGACATATGATTGTCAACTGTAATATTACTCACGTGACTGGGACAGTACGGGATACAGTAAAAAGTTAATGAAAAAATACTTTGGATAGGCACCGCCATTTAGTAGTTTTCTCTCAATAAGTCTACACTTGACAGCACGATGGCTCAGTGATTAGCACTGTCGCCACACAGCAAGAAGGTCGAGGGTTCAATCCCTAGTTGGACATGGGGTCTTTCTGTGTGGAGTTTGCATGTTCTTCTCGTGCATGCGTAAGTTTTCTCCGGGTACTCCAGTTTCCTCCCACAGACCAAAAACATGTTAGTCTGCCTTCAGGTCCGAGCCTCCCTTGCAAAAGAGATCTGTGATCTCAATGGGTTTTGCCTGGTTAAATAAAGGTTAATAAATAATAAATAAACATACTGTGTCTCCACTCAAAACAACTACATTTCCCAAGAGCCAACAGTGCTTCTGGCCGTTGCTTTCTGCTGAAATGGAGGGAAAGTTTTGATCCGATCCGAAAAAAGTTTGGTCCTTAATCATAGTGACTTTGGCGCTCAGTGGCTGCAGAAAACCATACAGAACCAACCAGGAATTGAACCAGAACCGGACTTCCAGCATCGTCTGTCAATCCGAGCACTACTTACTGGCCCAGGGAGCCTCTCTGGTGGGTGAAGTTTCGCTTGGATGTCCGGTGTTTTCTCAGGCGCTCCCCGGGACATTTTTCATCTAGATTTGGACTCAATCAGGACCATTGTGTGGTTTTGTTTGCAGTACGCAGCTACTGTACAGTATACGTATGTATGTTGTTAAAGTTATGTAGGTTTAAGAGTTTAGAACATTGCAAGAGTGTGGGAAGGATTTATACTGTAAAGCCTTAATATATATAAACAAATACTAAAATAAATATAGTCTTCTTACTTCAGTTTTTCCTTTATTACTGGGGGGTCTGGAACCTAACCCCCATAAACAAGGGACTATTATACTTGTATACTATTTTACACCACCACCAAATTTGAAATTACACAACTATTACCAGATAACATTATTTTTTACTTGTGTTGCAGCAGCAGGTAGCTGCTAATATATGTTCTAATCATATAGTAATATACATTTGACAAATAAACAACATACCATAATGTTCTCCCCACTGCTCTGACACTGGGAGCTGGCAGTGTGACCCAGGGTAGGCAGGGGGCAGCCAACACTTGTCTGAGCTGTGTTGTTCTTTGTCCAGGCTGCTGCTGCATATCTGACACAGAACACCAGCACGCCCTCCATGATGGAGGGGTAAGAAGCTACCAACAACTTCTCCTCCACCCTCCTGCCAGCCTTGGGTCAAAACAACTACGAGGCCTTAGTGTTCAAACAGAGACCTCGGGCGTCATTGACCCAAGGTCAGCAGGAGGGTTAACCAGTGCTGGATGACCAGCTGAGGTTTATTTATTATATTTTTCCATGTGTGATCGCACGTTGAAAACCATGACCAGGATTAAAGTGTTCCTAACCCCCACCACCACCACCACCACGTTTCATGTGTTTTCTCGTGTTTAAACAAGTAAAATCACGTGATGTTCCACACGTGAACTTTGAGTCCTTTTGCTCCATTTTATTTTATTTTTTTACAGGAAACAGGAAGTTTGTGTAACTTTTTGGTAAAGAAAATGTTTCTCTTGACCTCACTTGTTAACCGTTAGCTCATCCATCCAATCAGTATTAAACTTTATTTCTCAAAGCTGATATCAATCAAAGGGCTATGTACAACAGGTAGGATGTTTTTTGCTCATATCTACTCAACAGAACCCCATCTGAAAAAACCTGAGCTACCACACAGATCAAATTTAATCCCATCTTTTCATGTAGATTTGTTTTTATTGTGTGCAGTTCTTTGGCTCTTATGGGGGTGCGCCTTACTTTGGGTACAACCTTAGAATTTCTGTTTTTATGTCAAAGCTTTGTTGAAACAGTCTGGATTGGGTCCAAGTTGAACTATTTTTGTAGCATGCTCACTCCTACTTTCTTTTGTTTGGCCTTTCTTAGAACAGGGGAGTTCATTTACTGCTTTTAGAGAGTGCAGTCTTTTATTTCCACTTTCTTGTAAGGTCATAACAATTGGTTTCATTTTAATAACATCCACTTGGGTTTGTTATTTTCACTTGACACCCTCTAACATGTTTAAACTTATAGTTATTTTTTTTTTGCTCTAAAAATCCTTTACCTCTTATTATATTTTCTTATTCCTTATATTTCCTGGTGGAGCTGGAAACAGGATGATTTGGAGTTTTCATATAATATGTGACGATGAATGGTAACCTGGACATTATTTGTTTGAAAGTCAGATATTTTTAATCTAAAATATAAAATAGATTGTAATTTATATCACTTTTAAGAATTTTTACAGCCTTGAACCGCTTGAACTTGACATGCACCGTGGTGACGCTGATGACAAACTGGTGATGGAAAAACCTTCACCGTATCAGAGCTACTACGTTTTTATGACGTATGTGCCGCTTGCTAAGTTCCACATGTGAGTGGAAAGTGGGTCAGGTTCAGAGTAAATTCAGGATTGTTCATCACCAGGCGGTCAAGGACAGAGACTACATGATCCAGACACAACAACGCTGCTGCTGGAGGAGCAAAGGGTGACATCATTTCTGACTCAGACATCCAACAGTGGAAGAAGCTCTGAAGCTTCTGAAGTTTTGCATGGAAAAAACATCTATAACATGAACAAAACAGGGTGCCATTATTCTTTTCAATGCAAAGGTTTTGGTCAGACTGAGTTGTTTCTGATTTTACTTTATAAACAAATCTACCACAATTTAAAGGCCAAGTGTTCCTTGTCTCATGACGATGTAGAGGAGCATCAAACCTGCAGGTCAAAGTTTAGACTCAGATCATTTTTGATGAGAAATCACAGAGTTGTAGATGTTTTTGGTCAAATCTTGCAAATGATATAACAGTCTGCATTTTATGTGTTAGATTCATGGACTTGCTTTACTAAACTAAACAAGCAGTACCCCAATGTCTCCTGTAGCTGGAAGGTTTGAATAGTGAGTGTTTGTAGTTTTTGCGGTGAGTGTTTTTCTGGATTGGAATTGAACAGGGAAAACAAGTAAACCTTAATGGTTTTGGTGCAAGATATTTAAACAACTGTTAAGTTCATGGCAAAAACCAACACAGCCATGTTCCTGCTTTTAGTATTTTACATCACTTTATAATGTAGTTGTTTTTTGTTTCATTTTAATTTATTCTCTTTACCTTTCATTTTATATGATTGTTTATTGTTGTCTGTACCTCATCTGTGTTCTTTGTTTAAAACAGGTCTCTCTTGTAAATGAGTCCTCAAGGATCAAAGAGACTAACCTGTATAAATAAAACTTGACTGAAAAATAATTATTCAGTTGGTGTCAATGGTGGACTTGGCCCTGTAGATAAATCTTCAACAACTCGGTCATTTGAGGAAACTATACTTTTAAGCAATATATAAAAATAGAAAGCATAATTTCCTCAAATGAGCAGAATGGTCAGTTTACATAACTAGATGGTGGTGGGCATCTTGGATTTTGAATGTGGCAACCCAATTTTTAAGAGTGACCTTTCTTACTAATGGATGCTGCCACACAACAAAATGGAAGTTGGCACTTGATTTATTTTTCAAGTTATCATGTTCCCAATATGGACTAATGGAGAGACTAAAGAAAAGTATTTCCTTTTCCTCCTCTTCGCTCCACGATGGGGGACAACAAACCAAATAAAAAATTTCTATCCTGGCTGAATCCATTTGTGGCTGTCTCCAGTGGTCACTGTGCAGCATTGAGGGTACACACTATTAGTAAAGTATGAAGAAACAATTACTAGCTTAATACTTTTGCACAGTAATGAGTCAATCTTGTGCCTGCTTAGTCCGGCATTCGGGGTCCTCCCGTGACAGCAGCAACAACATACGTGCATGCCTGCCATGTAAACCTTACCAGCCTGAATCTGGGAATTTACCCCAAACAAAGACTAGCAGTGAGGGTAGCTACACTTCATTCATTTGGAAATAAACAATTTAAAGACATCACCTTGAAACAGCAACAGTGGAGATGAGGGCTGCAATGAACACCTGGAGACCATTGCGAGGTGCTGGAAGATTCCAGTCATTTGGTTCATTTAGAGAAATACTTTTAATAAACAACAAATGAAGATTGAATGTGACCTGTAATTTTACTGAGAGGAAGATGCACCAACTCAGTCAGTATTCAGTATTAATCTGTGAATCCTCACTAGAATTGGTCTAACCTCTGAATTTATATAATAATAATGTATGCTTCATTTAAAGTCAGTTACGGTCTTCATTACATAAATTGAAAAACGTAAAAATTACAGAGCTCACAGTTACACCATCATTTTGCAAATGTTGTCTTTCTAACCATTTATTCAAGCTTCTATTGCTCAGTAATGTATATGCTCCATCCAGCCATCCATTTTCTTTACCCGCTTTTTCCTTTTCTCGTCACTGGGGTCACTGGTGGTGCCCATATCTAGCTATCACTGTGCAAGAGGCAGGGGACACCCTGGACAGGTCTCCAGTTCATCACAGGGACACATAGAGACAAACAACCATTCACTCTCTCACTCACACCTAGAGACAATTTAGAGTCACCAATCAACGTAACATGCATGTTTTTGGTCAGTGGGAGGAAACTGGAGTACCTGGAGAAAATCCACACATGCACGGAGAGAAGATGTGGAGTCAGGAGACTGAGTTTCAACTCCCTGTCAGGAGTTGAACCAGCGACATGCTCGCTGAGAGGCAGCATCTCTACCAACTGCGCCACCATGCCACCCTGATCTCCATATTTTTCCTATTCATCTATAATGAATAAATAAGTTATTTTTTCTCTCCCCTCTCTCACTTTTGATAAGCCATCCCTTGTACCACCTTTCATACCTGTGGCCTCCACCATGCCCTCAAGGATGACCACAATCTCGAACTCCTCCTTCTCCATCTGGGTCAGTGACATTTCCCAGAAGGGACTCTTCTCGTTGATCTCATGGGAGATGATGAGCGGTGACACTAAAAACAGCCGGTCGTCCCCTGTGTCGAAGCCGATGTTGATGTCAGTCTGGTTGAGTGGGATGAACTCCCCCTCTTTGGTTTGCTGTGAGCGAATTAGCTTCGCTCTGATCGATGCCTCCACGATGTGAGAGTTCCTCAGGTCTCCCACCCGAAACATCAGGCACATCTTGTTATCTCGCACTGATATGACGGCCTTATGTGAAAACATGAGTGTCTCGGCACGGTTCTTTGGCTGTGAAATCTTGACAAACATGCAGCCTACCATGATGGCGTTGACTATGGATCCCAAGATGGCCTGCACCAAAAGTAGTATGATGCCTTCAGGGCATCTTTCTGTGATTACACGATAGCCATACCCAATGGTGGTCTCCGTCTCGATGGAGAAGAGGAAAGCCGAGACAAAACTGTTCAGATTTTCCACACAAGGAGTCCAGCCATCCTCATCGGCGTGTACCAGATCTCCACGAATGAGTGCGATCAGCCACCAGAGAAATCCAAAGAAAAGCCAATTGATCACATAGACCAGTGTGAAAATTAAAAGGCTAAAACGCCACCGTAGATCCACCAACGTAGTGAATAAATCACTGAGGTAACGGTAGGTCTCTTGCACATTTCCATGGTGAACGTTGCACTTGCCATCCTTCTGCACATACCGCTGTCGAGGCCTTTTCACTGGTTCAGAAATCAAGTGGGTTCGCTCGGTTGATATCTGGGCCTCCCTCAGATGTTTAGGAAGTTTCTTCACCTAAGTTAAAAAAAAAATCAGAAGAGAACAAAAAGTAAAAAAAAACAGTCAGGATGAAAGAACAACATGAGCAACTGTTTTTCTCCCCCAAGGTCTTTCTCTGCACTTGTTTCTTTCAGTAAATGTTTTATTTCTGCTTCAGTCTATTGGTGCTGAAGGATGAAGGTGTTAACCTGTTTTATGTGATTTTCTTCAGCCTTTGCAAAAATTCACACCAGATGGATCACAGCTACTAGAATGGAAAATGTAATCAAGCACAGCTATGAAGTTGCCTCTCTGTGCAGCTTGACACTGACATGACAGGAGGCACTTTATGTGTGTTTGACAGGGACAGAAAAGAAACAGGAGGTGAGGACACAACAAGGACACAGAGGTCTTTGATGTGTTGGCCCTCATCCAGCAAGGGATCTGACTCTAGAGCTGTATCCTGTCTCCTCCCTGTCCCCTGTGTCCCTCTTCTCACACGCTAAGGGCAGATCTTCACGCTGTCCTTAAAACCAGCAGACTACGCCCTTGGAGACTACCTGCTCAAGATTAGAACATTACAGCACTTTGGTGAACAGTGTTGCTTTTAAAAGTGTTTTATAAATAAAGATGTAAATATTGTAACCATTCCTTACCCACTGAAATAAATAATTTATTTAGCTTTTGGTTCTGGTTAGAGTCTCAAACATCTACCAACAGACAGATCTCGAAACTGCCAAGGACATCTCAGCAACACACTGACATTCCCACCCTCAGCTGATAAGTAGATCCAGTGGTGGATCCAGGGGTGGCCATGGCCACCCTAGAAAAATATTTGATCCCACCCCACTGACCACTCCTATTACCACTTTGAACAAGCAGGTTTTAGATGGCTACATCCTATCACAGTAAGAACTTGGACAAACATGCACTTGCAAGTAATACATTCATTCAACCTTTATTTATACAGGTTAGTCTCATTGAGCCTCCTTAACAAGAGAGACCTGTTTTAAACAAAGAATACAGATGAGGTACAGACAACAATAGATAATCATATAAAATCAAAAGTAAATAGAATAAATTATATAAAAACAAAACAAAAACAGCTACATTATAAAGTGATAACTACTCCTATAGAATACTGCTGCTAATGCTAATTTTACTGGTGTCAATTTTAATGCTAGTTCAATTACTGAATGCTAATACTGCTAACGTTAGTTCAATTAATGCTAATACTGCTAATGCTAGTTCTACTAATGTTAACGGTAATATTGCTAATGCTAGTTCTATTACTGTTAATACAATTGTACATTGTACATCAACAATTCAATTAGAGCCAATTAGATATGGCTGCCAAACTCTAGTGATCTTAGAAAACACAAAAACTGAAAGTTAATTAAAATTTACAGATACTGAGCTGAACTTTGGTGTGGTAGTAGCTGTGAGTGATCCCTAACATGTAGTGAAGACTAACTGATCATCTGAGATCTCCTAATTTTGTGTGCATACGTTTTTCTTTTTTTTACTAAAACTTTGTTTGACTAAAAAGGTCATTAGTTTTGTTTGTTTCCTGTAAAACTAACTCTGTCTGTTTCTTTTAGCATGTGATACTCCACCTGAACAGGTTGTGGCAGATTTTTTTTATGTGACATTAATATCATATGCAAACGTGAAGAAGATAGGTAGCATCACTTAATTAAAAACGTGCAGTTTCGCTGTTTATACATCAGACTTCTGCTGTCAATTTCATAATTAAGAATAAGAAAGTCGAGAACATAATTGTCAAACCCACACTGAACAAAACAACTAATAAGAACAACATAGCTAGACACACAGTTAGAAAAAGTCCATACATTTTTGTTGCTTCTTCTTCTTCTTTCAGCTTTTCCCTCTTCAGGGGGCGCCACAGCGAGTCATCCTCCTCCACCTTACTCTGTCCTCTGCATCCTCTGTCCTCACTCCAACTACCTTCATGTCCTCTCTAACTGCATCCATATATCTCCTTTTTGGCCTTCCTCTTTGTCTTTTTCCTGGCAGCTGCATGTCTAACATCCTTCTACCAATATACTCACAGTCCCTCCTCTTGACATGTCCAAACCATCTCAGTCTGGCCTCCCTAACTTTATCTCCCAGTTGTTCAACCTGTGCTGTACCTCTGATGATCTCATTCCTAATATTATCCAGCCTCGTCACTCCTAAGGAGAACCTCAGCATCTTCATTTCTGCCACTTCCAGTTCTTTCTCCTGTCTTTTGGTCAATGCCACTGTCACCAGACCATACAATATAGCTGGTCTCACCACTGTCTTGTAAACTTTTCCTTTGACCACTCTTTGACCAAACTTTTCGCCATCCACTCCATCCTGCCTGGACTCTCTTTTTCACTTCTTTACCACATTCCCCATTTTCATGGACAGTGTACTTGAACCTTCAATTACCAATTACTTGAAGTCCTGCACCTTTGTGACCTCTGCTCCTTGTAGCCTCACTGTTACACCGGCCTCCTTCTCATTCACTCACATGTACTCTGTCTTACTGCGGCTGACTTTCATTCCTCTTCTTTCAAGTGCATACCTCCACTTCTCCATGTTCTCTTCCACCTGTCTTCTGTTCTCAACACAGATCACAATGTCATCTGCAAACATCATAGTCAATGGGGATTCTTGCCTGACCTCATTTGTTAGTCGGTCCATCACCAGAGCAAACAAGAAGGGGCTCAGAGCCGATCCTTGATGCAATCCCACCTCCACCTTGAAGCTATCTGTCATTCCTACAGTACATCTCACCACTGTCCTGCTGTCCTCATACATGTCCTGTAGCAGTCTAACATACTTTTCTGCCACTCCAGAGTTCCTCATGCAATACCACACCTCCTCTCTTGGCACTCTGTCATATGCTTTTTCTAAATCTACAAATACACAATGGGGTTCTTTCTGACTCTCTCTGTACTTCTCCATCAGCATTCTCAAGGCAGAGATGGCATCTGTGGTGCTCTTTCTTGGCATGAAACCATACTGCTGCTCACAGATGGTCACCTCTCGTCTAATTCTTTCTTCCACAACTCTCTCCCAGATCTTCATCGTGTGGCTCATCAACTTAATTCCCCTGTAGTTGCTACAACTCTGTACATCACCCTTGTTCTTAAAAATGGGCACCAGCACACTTCTTCTCCATTCCGCAGGCATTTTCTCACCCTCATATATGCCATTGAATTTTTGAGTCAAAAACATCACTGCCATCTCTCCAAGACATTTCCAAACATCCACTGGTATGTCAACAGGTCCTACTGCCTTCCCCTTCTTCATTCTTTTCAGAGCTTTCCTGACTTCACCTTCACTAATCTTTTCCACTTCCTGATCCACAGTTTCTATGACCTCTACTCTTCTTTCTCTTTCATTCTCTTCATTCATTAGCTCCTCAAAGTACTCCTTCCATCTTCCTGTCACACTCTCCTCACTTGTTAGAACATTACCATTTCTATCCTTAATAAGCCTAACCTGCTGCACATCCTTTACAGCCTGATCCCTCTGTCTTGCCAATCGGTACAAGTCCTTCTCACCCTCTTTATTGTCCAGCCTCCCATACAACTCATTGTATGCCCTCTGCTTACGTCCCATCTCCTTATATTCCTGTCTCCTCTCTTCAGTCCTCTCACTGTCATATTTCTTCTTGGCTAGTCTCTTTCTTTGAACGGCATCCTGCACTTCGCTATTCCACCGCCAGGTTTCCTTATCATCCATTCTTTGTCCAGATGACACATCAAGTACCTTCCTACCTGTCTCTCTAATTACTGTTGTTGTAGTAGCCCAGTCATTTGGAAGTTCTTCTTACTACCCAGGGCCTTTAACAGCTCCTCTCCAAATTTATCACAACATTCTCCCTTCTTCAGCTTCCACCGTTTGGTCTTCTTCTCTGATTTTACTCTTTTTCTCTTCTTCACAACAACCGTCATTCTACACACAACCATCCGATGCTGTCTGGCCACGCTCTCCCCTGCCACAACTTTACAGTCCCCAATCTCCCTAAGGTTTTCTCTTCTACACAGAATGTAGTCGACCTGTGTACTCCTTCCTCCACTCATAGGTCACTCTATGTTCCTCCCTCTGTTGGAAATAGATATTGACTATAGCCATTTCCATTCTCTTGGCAAAATCCACCACCATCTGTCCTTCCTGGTGTCTTTCCTTGACACCAATCCTACCCATCACTTCCTCATCCCCTCTGTTTCCTTCACCAACATGTCCATTCAGGTCTGTTCTGATCACCACTCTTTCCTCCCTGGGAATACTCTCTATCACTTCTTCCATATCTTTCCAAAATATATCTTTCTCCTCATCATCACATCCAACCTGTGGAGCATAACCACTGATGATGTTTAGCATCAGACCTTCTACTTCTACCTTCAGGCACATCACCCTATCTGACACTCTCTTCACCTCTACTATATTATTTGCCAACTCCTCCTTCAGGACCACCCCTACCCCATTTCTCTTTCTATCCACACCATGGTAAAACAGTTTGAACCCTGTGCCAATGTTGTGAGCCTTGCTGCCCTTCCACTTGGTCTCTTGGACACATAAAACATCTACCTTTCTTCTCTGCATCATTTCAACCAGCTCTCTACCTTTGCCTGTCATTGTCCCCACATTTAGAGTTGCAACCCTCAGTCCTACATTCTTCACTTTCTTCTTCTCCCTCAGTCTACTGACACGTTTCCCTCCTCATGGTCTTCGATTAACAGTAGCACATATTCTGCTGTTTGTCAACAGCACCGGTGGTGGTCGTTGTTAACCCGGGCCTCGACCGACCCGGTATGGTTTCACTTTGATGAACTCGCAATATGGTTTTGGCAAAAGTGTTTTACATTGGATGCCATTCCTGACACAACCCTCACCATTTACCTGGGCTTGGGACCTGCACAAGAGATACACTGGCTTGTGCTCCCTACTGGCTGGTTTGGGTTATCCTTTTTTTTTTTTTACCTACGCAGGCAGTGTAAAAAAAAAGGAAATAACCAAGAGACACTTCAAAATCCAGAGCAAATTGGCATGTAGGCTAAAAAAATACATCATTTTCTGGGAGCAATGGTCCCAGTCTGGCTACCTCCATGAATATTGTCCGTTTCGGCCTCTGAGACATCACAATGACTGCTAAAGTCTTTTGCTGCTAATTGACAAAATACTCTCCAGAGTCGTGCTCATATTGCCCGGAAAGTTCCATCCACTTGTGCTTACTGTACACCAGATGAATCACAAAGGCCATCGTTCTCACAGTTTAGCTGCCAAAAAGCACAAAGGCAACAGTGTAATTCCAGTGCAGAAACTTAATCTGCCAGGTGAGTTCATTAAAGGTTAAGGAGATTAAGGGACATTTCACTGCTCTCCTGAACATGAGCATGTTCAGTCAAGTCTAGATGTCCACTTTTGATTTGTTGTGTAATTATCTGAGTTGATCCTTGTTTTAAATGAAAAAGAGCGTACGTTAACCTGCACCACAATTAGCAGCTGGATGATAATTCATCATTTACCCTCCTAAAGACTGAGCTTAAGGAAAATGGGTCGCACATGTGTCATGCTCAAGGCCTGAGGGCCAAATATGGCCCTTGTTAAAATCTTATCTGGCTCACGAGATGATATTTCAAAAGTGAAATATTTTTGTTGCTTTTCATTTTACATAAAAAAATGATAATACCTTATTTAGTGCAGAGTTCTTAAAACAGTGGTCCAACTCTGAAGCCAAGAAAAAAAAAATAGTTGGATTTTTTTCCCTAATCTTTAATTTTAATGAGAAAAAAATCAAAATACCATGTCAAATGAGACTGAAAAACATTTGTTGAGGAATTTGTGACCAAGAAAAGATGTCAGGTATCTGACTGGAGTTAAATTATTAATGAAACTGGCCATTGGTCCGAAAAAAGTTTTGGACTTTGTCCCTCTTTGGTGACTGAGTTTTACACCCCTGTAAGCACTTTTCAAAATAATATATTAATATTTAACGTGTGCAATAATTCCTTTTGTATGAAACAAACCCAACCTGAACTAATCTCATTTAATCCTTTGGGGTGTTCTGAGTTGTAGAAGTAGCTGTCTCAAGCAGCACCGCTTCTGTAGTCAATATATAACCTGAGAGCGATGATCCATAGACAAATTAATTAGCTGTCTCTGCATGGCATTTGTTTGGTAATTAGAAGGTTTTTTTTATCTTGTCACTGAGCCTTTCTGGTCTGGTTTGAGTAGGCACCAAAACTTCCAGTTAGCTTGGGATTTAGTCCAGATAAAAGCACCGTTCTACTGTCTGTCATAGGAGCCAAGGTGAATGTCCTAGTCTTTCCTGCCAATGCCAAGAAAACTGAACTATGTATTTAGTACTTGGTATCTATAAATGTCGATTCATAGAGTTGTCTTTATCTGTAAAGAATTGTTAGTGCATATATTTAACTTTAAACAGTCTGGTTAGTTTCTGACAAACCACATGGGTTTATGTTCTCCTGTTCTCTCTTAATGATCACTAATAATCATAAAAATTCTGTTTCTGACAGTGTTTCTCTAATCTCTTGCAGATGGGGTAGTACTCTACCACTGAGGAGGATGTGGTGCTTTTGCAGTTTACCTGTGCAGGTGTTACTCCTGTCTCCATGTTGTGGTCCATGAGGACACAAGAATCTCCTGCCATTCTCCGCTGAAGAACACCTGAGGGACATAAAGATAATCATGCATTTAATAATCATTCCTATTCCTTGTATGAATTTATCAGAGCACAGTGACAGTTTGTTCTTTGGTGCTTAGGTCCCATTCACACCATGACTTATGGAATCTATTAAAACACTGGTGAACCGTAGCAAGTTTGTAACCGGCTCCTTCATTGTGAAGCCAGTCATGGTGCTGCCACACTCTTAGTATTTGCACAATAGGTATTTTACGTTCAGCATCCTAGAGACACTGTACTGCACCTCCACAACCTGCTCTGGCATGGCTGCCATGGAGTTCATCAGGATGCAGATGGAAAAATTCACACCACACTATGTTACCCCCACTTTATAATAGCTGTACTAGGTTGGCACAATCTCTGTCAAAGCTGGGTTTTTTTTTTTAATATCATTTTCTTTCACTTGTTCTTCTCAGTTTGTATGCTTCCTTTTATGACTGTCTTCTGTTGTCTTTGTTGTCTACTGTTGTCATCACTCTTTGTTAAAATCAGGTCTCTCTTGTGAATGAGTCCCAGAGGCTTAATGGGATTAACCTGTATAAATAAAGGTTGAATGAAAAGGGTGTCTTGCTCAGAGACACTAGTCTGGGGATTAGGCCTGTGGCTTTCGGGTCCCGAGTCAGCTGCCCTGCCTCTACCCCACCTCGGCCCCCCTACCCCGAAAATACCAGGAAAAAAAAAAAATCAAAGTACTCTCAAAACAGTTTAAGATAAATTACTCAAACTTGTTTTCGTTCAGATAGGCAGTTGAAAAGGCAACACATTATTGCCCCAAGTTGCTTTGACTTGTGAAACCGTGGCCCTGGGAGTCAAATATTGGCACAATTGAATCAGAAATTGTATGAATACAAGCGTGGTGGGTGTTGGCAGATTTTCAGTGTCTTTGACTATGTGAGCATGGAAACCTTGATGAAGCTTTTATCCATTCAGCCTTTGAACTCACACTTATCTTGATAACATATTTGTGTCTGCTCTGCTATAATTTCTAAAATTGTGTAGGAGTGAAAACCAGCATGATCCACACACCATTAAAATAATAAAGACATTAAATGTAAAGATCAGTGGTAGCTTCGAACACTATTAAACTCTGCCATCAGTAAATACTAACGATACTTTTACCATATTCTCAAATTAACTACTGTCCAAAACATATAGGACTATCATTCTTTAAAATAAACCAATTATAAAAAAATATATATTTTTATTCTTTCAGTATAAAATCTAAATTTTTAAAATAAGCAGATCAACATGCTAACCATTAAAATTCTACTGTTGACCCAGTCTTGATATTCTTTTTATTTCATTTAAATGACTACTTGTACATATTGGCCTCAAAATGTTATTTCTTTAGTCTACTTAAAATTGTTGTTTGTGACATGTGAAAACTCCCATTTACTTTAAAAACTATCCATCCATCCATCCATTATCTTTACCCGTTTGTTCCATTTTGGGTCACGGGGGTCACTGGTGCCCATGTCCAGCAATCACTGTGCGAGGGGCGGGGTACACCCTGGATGGGTCGCAAGTCCATCGCAGGGCCACATAGAGACAAACGAGACAAACAACCATTCACTCTCTCACTCACACCTAGGGACAATTTAGAGTTACCAATCAGCCTAACATGCATGTTTTTTTGGACTGTGGGAGGAAACCGGAGTACCCGGAGAAAACCCACGCATGCACGGAGAGAACATGCAAACTCCACCCAGAAAGGCCCCTGGACCGGGGTTTGAACCAGGGACCTGCTCGCTGAGAGGCAGCAGCTCTACCAGTTGCGCCACCGTGCTGCCCACTTTAAAAACTATGTTTATCATATTTTATACTTAATGCTGCCAATATTTTACTGGTACAATGCATTCTGGTGCAATGATGTACATTGATTGTAGTGAAAACTAAAACAGAGAGTCAAGGATAAAAAGTTATAACATGTTACAATAAAGATATATTTTGTGTTAGTCCTTATGCACAAAATGGATTGAAACAATCAAACGTGAATAACTTGTTTCATTTATTAGCGCTGAGCCAACACCATTTAGCTTGGAGCTAACACAACAACCGAGTCATATCTGTGTCCTTCTTTCTGTCAAATTAAAGGACTGATTGTCAGATAATGTCCAGCATTAACATTCAAGCTGAATGGAGCTCACACCGGAGCAACCTGGCTATGTCATTTACCAGAATGCATTGTAGTTGTAAATAAAATGGCTGCGTGTCATCAATAAAAAATTAAAAAATCATTAAAAATAAACAGTCTACAGTATTTTTATGGTTTTATTTTTATAGCTGAATTAATTGCTTGTCAAATAAGTAAGGTATATTGTTGCAACTAGTCAAAGTTGTCTGTAAAACTATAAGTCATATTTTGACTTAACTGTTGAAAAAAATAACCTCGTACTTCAACTTCAAAACCCGCCTTGCAGCTCCCAAGATCAGCAGTAACTCAAGACTAATGTTTCATAACGTTCAAAACAATTAATGTCTGTTTGTCTAAAGCGGAGGTGCCTTCAGGTTTCCTGTAATAGCCATATAGTGGACACTGAAAATCCGGGGGTGTCCCACCAACAGAACAAGCCCAGGCCAACAAAGGCCCTAACAGCTGTTCTAGGGAGAGAAGACTGGTTCATCTTGGTTTAAACTTGTTGCTGCACAAGAGCGAAGAGGAACTTTCATCAGGCGCTGGGTTCGAGCTCATAAAGACCAGCAACCACTAAAACTTGTTTGAAACTTAGTTGTTCAGTCTGACAGCAGCTGAATAAAACAATGCAAAGTATCTGCTGCACTGAGGGAAATCTTTTTAGCGTAGCCTGACAGAACCGTCCCTGTGATGGACTGGAGACCTGTCCAGGGTGTCCCCCACCTCTCGCACAGTGACTGCTGGATATGGGCACCAGTGACCCCCGCAACCCGAAAAGGAAGAAGTTGGAACAGATAATGGATGGATGGATGTCAGAATAATCACTAACAATGTGTTACATTTCTTTTCCACAGCAGCTACACTTCCACTGCGACGTTAAGCAGAAAATAATCCATTTATTTTACTAATGCTTCAGCTGGTCTTGTTAAATTCCTGACCACATGTGGATGAGGTGTTTATTATTTACACAAAATGTATTCTTATATTAAAACACACAAGCACACACTAAACTAACAAACAAAATGTCACAATATCAGCTGCTAATAACCGTGGTAACACATTGCAAGGCAGGACCAAAGTGTTGCATCACATGGAAGATGACCCAGCATCCACTGAGGGCTCATTTAGCAGTTTAGGCGGGCTCAGCTGCATCGTTTTAATGATGTAATTCTCCCAAAGAGCACACTTCTCATTGCAAATCCTGCCAGTCATTTTAACTACATGTGCCCACATGCGCAGATACAGTCACACAAGTCTCTCCTCTTCATTGTACCAGATCATCGCTCCACCCAGAGGCAGCAGAAACCCAGTTTCCTTTACATTTAATCTAATATTTAAAAGAAGACTGTTTCATCTCTGTGGTTGTTTTTAGCTCCTCAGGAGACCAGATGATGTGCTGACAGCCTTTAATGTAGGGAGAGGATTTCTCTCACTTGATTTATGTCCCAAAAAGTATTTTTAACCATCTTTATGTGAGAAGAAGTAGACAGGCTCATCTTAATAATGTTGGGTTTAATATATGCCTCAATAATAATAATAAAGGCTAAGCATTTGTTGAAGGCATGACTATCACCTACTAGTATTCACATCTAAGTTTTAAACCAATACTTATATTTGAAACAACATAATCTCATATAATATTGTTAGAATTTGCTCAATCTGTCAGTGTTTCAGTTGTGTGTTGTTTATGACTCTCAGCTACTACTACATCCAATTTGAGCTCAACATCTGTAAAACTGACTGTGTTACTGACATTTTTGCATTTTATTAAATTGATTATTACAGCCAGCCATCTTGATTGGGTTGTAGATGTGTGTCCAACGATACATTTTTGAGTTTCAATAGAATCCATCTTTTGGTTCATGATATATTTTGCTAACAGGCAGACAAACACTTGCATGGGGAGATGAGAAAATAAAGGCTATGAGTGTGTATGAACCCTAATTTTAGCTCCATCAAAGCACCTTTTTGGAGCCCAACGGGAAGCAGGTCACTGAGAAGCTGTTGGACCACCGCCCCTCAAATGTATTGACAAAAGCAAAAAGTAACGACACGTAATGAACCAGTGAGCACTGCGTTCTGACCTCAGCACCGTCTGACATTTCTCCATCGTGCTACTTTGAGGGGCTTTTATTTGATCGCTGACAGGATGGGGGGTAGTTGCTGCTGCAGCGTGCATGGAGACGTGTGAAGAACGTGTCACAGCTGAGATCCACAGAGGAACGTGGTGTTGACACTGATGCTCCAAAGCAAAGGGCAGAGCGACGTGACGCGCATCGGAGCATGGTGGACAGACAGACAGACAGACAGCATTTGTTTCAGATGTTTGCATGGATTTAGCCTACTTCCTGGATGTTTTGTGAATATTTTCAATAAACCTCTGACTGCAGCTGTCTGTCTGTCTGTCTGTCTGTCTGTCTGTCCAAGGTGGAGGTGTTCAACCAGAGATAGCAGATGGCCCGTTTTATCTCTGTGCTTTGAGAGGGTAACAAGCAGTTATCTTGTTACCAGGAGAGTGACAGGATGCTCAGGCTGAGTCGTGTTCCTGTCCTGATAACGAGAGGCCCTCATGGCGGGTACAAACCCAGCACTCAGTTCGAATACTGTCGACACGTAGATTTTCATCTGATTGTTATCTGAATGGACATAAGGTGTGTGGTTTTTTTTCTTCAGATTTGTGGAAATACTATTATTTTTGCCCCAATGCTGTAAACTGCACTGTCTGGCTTTGTGATTTAATGATTTACATTTGCACAGCGTTGTGAGCTGGCTTATAATTAAGTTAACTTTTTTCATTATTTTCATCACTGCTGCACCAATAAACACATTAAATACCTGAATCATTATTCC